TAATTCTATAACTTTATGTTATGCGGAATTAGCAAAATTAAAACCTTGTGAATAATTAATTAGTACCTCTTTATTACTTTGGCAAAGAACAATATTTTTATGAATCCCGCGAGTCAGTGAAATGTTTTTGCTGTCAATGACTTTCACAAAATGTTGTCTTTGCGAATACCATAAAATTGTCGAAGCATGTAAATTTCAAGCAGCGAAAATTAATCAGTGTACAGTAGATAATAATGAAAAGACAAGAACATGATTACCATCCATTGTCTGTCTGTCACATGCACGTTTGTAAGTCAAAGTTTTCATTGGTAGTCAAATGTGCAACATCAGCTGACAGATCTCTGAGGGCATGTGTTTTGTTTGATGTAAGAGACATTCTTCATACACATGTATGGAGATGAGCTGACGTTAAGATAATGTTGGTGACATTGTGTACAAAAATAAACTCTGTAAGGTTATGGCAGTTTATTGTTTATGAAAGACTGTATACCAGACAAAGAGTAAAATCAAATAATATTTATTAATATACATGTACCACTGCAGGTTGGACCTTGTTTTTTGTTTATACCACTTATGGATTTTGAATGTAGAATTTTTTCTCTATGCCTCTAACAGCACAAATACCAAACTGTACTGGCCGTTGTGGGGCATTGCTGACTAATTTATTTCATCATGTCTATAATCTAGATGACTTGCCCTGGCATGGCTTGATATCCATGAAGGCAATTACCTTGATGCCCTACCTGACTGCCTTGGTACCCTTAAGTACACATTTTCAAAGAGACAAAGGCATTTTCAACATGCTTTCCGTCAAAAGTGGGTGCCCTCACAATTCCGAAGGGTATGATATCAGTTTACATTATCAATCCTGAAATAATAGAGATGAAATATATTGTATATACACATTGCCAAGGCTGGAAATTCTTTCTAGAAAAAGTATAACATTACTGGTATTTGGTTTCATCAACCTAAACTTGAGCTGTGTTCTTTGGAAAGTCCCTTCTCCTCTTTCACTCCGTTTCCTGCATAAACAACAAATACATGGTATCGTAGCACTAACATGTTGTAAACTACCTGGGTTATTTTTGTTATCAGAAAGAATAGCAACAAGCCAAACATGTAATAGAAATTTGTCAAAATAGTTTACCAGACAACAGGGCAGGTAACTTTAAAAACTTGCCTGCCCTGCAAAAAATTTACCAGACCTGTTTATGTTTTCAATATTTTATTTATTTTCAATTGTTTCGCTATATATCGCTCTGCATACTTTACAATACACTGCTCTTTGACAGTATCATTGATAATCATCCAACTTGAATTCAGCTTTCCGTGATGAGACAATTTTCCGCATTCTTTTGGTTTTATCATACACCCTATTCGCCCCTTTGGAGGCACATTTTACTTTTTGCTTCTTTGCTAGAGTCTTGATTCCTAAAAACTGTCTCAACATTTTCAAAATACAGTGTAAAAACACCGAGCAGAACAATATGTCAACTCCAGCTCTGATAAGTTTGGATCAACTGGGACTCTCGCATATTGTGAGTATTCAAATCACGCATATTGTGAGAGTTCACTAAATCATGCATCGTTTGTGGATTGTTGTGGTTTTTACCTTTTTTACATGTTGCATGTGTCAAAGCAGTCGCATCAGGTACATGTACATGCCGATAATTCTGACAACAATCGTACATCCATAGACATTTTGTGATTTTTGTAAAAATCCACCTGACCTCAGGGCTAATAACTAGAGATTTTCACCAGCCTGACTGAATAGATACACTATATCCATGTACGGGTGTACGATCAGGCAGTAATTTTAACACTGGTACATGAAAGATGGAACTTATTTAATCTTAAGAACAACTTATGGGAATGGGAATTTTTAATGAATATATTTTGACTAGGTTTAGCTTTGAAGACATATTATACATAATTTTTGGCGAATTGTTTCGTTTCTAAAAATTTACATGGTTGTCCAGGTGGTCTGCACTTTGAGTACAATGCCATCCCTGATTCCCTAGGCTGAGGAAAAGACTAATTGTTAGAAAACCAAAATCGTTTCCATGGCTTTAATGTAGTTTAAAGTGTATAGTAGTATATACTGGCTAGTATCCATGTACAAATTTTGTTCACTAGCAATCAAGTTAGTAAAATTTTTATCTTATTTTTGTCACTATGGTACTATTAACGTTGATTATTATGGATTGTATGTAGTGGATGGATAGTACAAATGTATACTCGCTGGTACTGTATTATTTTATAATAGAAGCGTACCGAAACCAAAATATTCTGTTTGTTGCTTGCTGGATAATTGACATATGACTTGCTTTGACTATAAAACACGTCCTTTAGTCATTTACGCAAGTGCATGCACTACTAATAGAGCAAATATTTGATTTACTTCAGGCGGCAAGTAGAATGTAGGGTTCAGACAAAGTGACATCAAAGATATCTGTTACAGATTTATCTCCTCTATATGTTGAATATTAAGCAAATGATTTGTAATAAATTGGTAATCTTAGAAAAGGAAATGGGGGGGAGGGGGGGTTGTGGTTTTGGGCATGGGGGTTGTGGTTATCGGCATGGGGTTGT